AGACAGAAATATATGGTGGGAAGACCTGAAAGAGGACAGCTGTTCACCCCATGGCAGCCAAGAAGGAGAGAGAGACGGGAGGAGCCAGGATAAGAACACATGCTTCTAGGTCACATCCTGGTGACCACCTCCAAAACACTACCTCTGACAGCACATTTAGCCATGAACCCATCAATGCAAGAATCCACTGGTGAGCACAGTGCCCCATGATCCAGTCATCCTCTATATACAGGAGACTTTAAGGAACATTTTAGATCTAAGCCATCACCCACACCCTGCTCAGGTCAGCACCCGCGGTCAGCACTCACACTACAGATCTATTCAGTTTGCAGAGGTATAGGCAGAAAGACTGTTGTACCTTTACTTTTGTTTCACTGAGAAATTCAACTAGGATGGAAGAATCTTTGGAAGACAGCAACAAACAGAATATTCTATTCTACATGTGGATTTAAAATTCCTTCATTTTACAAAAAATAAACAAGGAAAAAGAAAAGCATATACGTTTTTAACTTAAAAACACATGTCTGTGTCTTCTCTAACTTAGGAAGCATTTACTAAACACTCATTTAATGCAAGGTACCTGCCTGAAAACAGCAACCCCACTCATCAGGCCTGGGCTCTGCCCTCTTGGGCTCTGCTCTACAAGGTGAAAGTTTTTCAGTACTTTGGAATCTTTTAGAATTTAAGCCTCAAATGTCCCTAAATCTTAATGAGAAAAGTCCTTGGTGATTTTAAAGCATGCCTAGAGAGGGAGGTGAGTATTTCTGTGGTGTCTTTTGGGGAAACTCTTTAAGATGTTCGCTAAAGTTCTCCTGAAAGCAACTTCATAGTACTTGAAAAAGTAAACATTACAATTTTTAAAAACAAAAATTAGAAGCTCCAACTTTCTTCTTACCCATACAGTACGGAAAAACTCATATTAGAAAATTGCCATAAAACAAAAAACATTTTTAAAAACTTCAGTATGGGATACCTTTGACTACAGAATGCAAAACTCTCTGCCACACATTTTAGAGTCAGGACGTGTGATCCTGACTGACTTCCAAGTAACAGAAGCAAGTCCCACAATCAGGAGCAGTGTACCCAAGGCCACTTGGCTCACTGGCCAGTGATGGGAGGGCCCTCTCGCACAGGAGGGCTGCCCTCCAGTTATAGTTTTCCATCACTGTGACAAAACACCTGCGATGACAAACTTATAAGGAGGAGGGGTGTATATGGCTCCTGTTTTCGGGGTTTTAGTCTGTAGTCACTTGTCCTGTGGAGTGGTACAGGTACGTCACTGCAGGGAAAATGTGACCAATGGCCTGCTCACTTATGGTGCCCAGGAAGCAAAGGAGGGAAGAGGAGGGCAGGGCCATCTCCTCTCAAGACCATGCCCCCAGAGATCAACTTGCCCCACCTCCTAAAGGTCTCAGCATGCACCCCCAAGGAAGAGAAGGGAGGAGAGGGGAAGGGAGAGAGGGAAAAGAAGTGTCCCATGGGTGGACACCAAACCTGTAATTCATGACCTCTGAGGGACATTCGGGATGCAAACTCTAGCACACGCTGAGCCTCTCAGAAGGAAAAGACCTTGGCCATAATCAGGGCACCCCATACCTCCAGGATACTGCCCACCCGACAGGTATTATCGCTCAAGGCCAGTTCCACTTCCTCAGGTGGCGGGCAGTGCTATTCTCTCCCAAGAAGCTGTCTTGCTGGAGTTTCAGAAGTCATCCTTGTAAAGTTGAATTGAAAAATAGTAAAAAATCTTTAAATTATCAGGGCTGTGGTACAGGGTGGCTGCAGGGCACCAGGCAAGATGGCTGAGGCCAGGAGAGGTCAGAGCTCAGAGCCAGGCCAGGGCCTTGGATGACCCCACCTGTGACGCAAAGAGTGAAAGGATGCAGAGGAGCAGCAGCCCCCAGCGGGACACGGAAAGAAGACAGAGTCAGCAGAGAAGTAAGCAGGGGGGCAGCAAGAGCAGGGATGAGACGGTGGCCAGGGAGGATCAGACTGTGGTGGGGGCAGCAGGGTCAGAGAACAGGTCTGGGATGAACAGGGAGAGGGAACAGGACACTGACAGTCAGGAAGAGGTGCCGGGATGGACAGGGCATGATGACGACACACAAGAGTGTGAGAGAGAGGGAGACCTGCTTCCTGCACAGAACTCATAAGCATGCCTCATGCGTGTGGCCATATGTGAAGCCTGGGAGGAGGCCAGAGGGACAGCCAACATCTAGAGCAGCACCACCTGCCACCTGAGGCTATAAGGGACCTGTGTCTGTGAACAAGGGCAGGCTGGAAGCGGCTGCAGTGATGGCGTGAGCAGCAGAGTCCTGAGAACCCCTGCCTCACCCCGGACAGATGGAGCCTCTCCTCTGGACCGAGCACTGTCCACGCTGGGTTCTCCCTGAACACCCGTGAGTGGACCCACAACCTTGCGACCATGGGAACAGGGTGTGATATCACTGCCAGAGTGCCAGGGAAGTACAGGGAGCCCTGCATACGACACCTGGCTCACTCAGTAAGCTCTAGGAGCTTGGCATGTCACTACACCCAGATCTCAGACCCGTGTACAAGGACAGCTACACTGCATTAATGGTCTTTATCTTTTTTATTTAAACTTAATTTTAAGAAATTACAATGTTCAGGGAAGCCAGTTTAATATGCAGGTTCCCAGACCCTCCTCCCCTGCCCCACAAGGGAAGTAAGCAACTTGGTCTGGATGCCAGCAAGGGCCTTGAGCTCTCCCTGCCTTGGTCCAGCCCAGTGCAAAGTCCTAGGTTAGGCTCTAGAGGAGAATCAGGAATGCAGGAGATGTTTTCCGCTGCTGGGTTAAAAACCTGCAGCTAAAACTCGAACAGGTCAAGCTCTCCAAGAAACACAGCGCCTGCTGGCTCTCAGGAAGCATGCACCAGCTGGCTCGGAGCAGCGCTTCACACGGAAAGCTCTTGTTTGCCTGTGGCCTTCTCTTCTCCTCGGGGAGCCACCACAAAAGCCTCAGAGGGGGCGCGGCCAGCAGGTCACTGGCCAGGAACGCATGTGACCTTCACCAACATTCATGAGCCAAACAGCTACCTCTAGGCCCTGGAAGGAGGACCCGAAGAAGCCGCAGCTGCCTGACATCCACCCCAGCGAGCTTCGTGTTGGGGGCTACCGGGGGCAAGTGGCTAGCGAAGTCTAAGGTGCACGTGGTCATCACCACCCACCACTGGGGAAGTGTGAGGGGTACGTCCGACTGAGGTGAGAACCCCAGCCGTGGAAACTACTTTCAAAGACAGGCTAGGTTTCATGTGGGTCCGTGAGCCACAGTGTCTGTGTATGTGCTGGGCACACATCTTACATATAAACAAGATACTAACGTATTGGGAAGCTATGGGTTGTGGTTGTTTGCTTCTCTTTCACCAGGTGCATTTGTTAAACTAGAATGTGTCCCCATTCTCTGAGAGTGATTAAGATAGGGAGTCAGACTAGACAGCCCATGCCTGAATTTCAGTGTCCCCCCAGACAGCTGTGTGCCTTTGGGGAAGTTGCCTACTCCCAAGCTTCAGTGCCCCAGCGGCAGAATGGGTAAATGCAGTACAATGCAGAGGTCACTGTGGACTACCGGAGATGCAGGAAAAGCCCCTGAATGACTCAGCGCACAGGAAGCACTAAATGCTGACTGTTCTTCCTGCTCAAGCGTCTAATCACAAATGCCCCTATTTGCTGTGTGGCTCACTTCTATTTTCTGGGTTCCTCAGACTCATCGGGAGTTCAGTCTACCTGGCTGGGCAGGAATGGAGACTCTTGAGAAGGTCACTCTTCTCAAATGAAAGCAAGGGCCCTGAGCCCTCCCCCACTTCTTAGCAAGCCCAGCAGGAGAAGGCAGGGCACGGTCTCTGCACTCGGAACACCCAACATTGGCAGGTATAGCCCATCATCCCATCCAGGGTGCTCAGCAGGGGTGTGCACAGAACTCTGGAGCACCCCTGTCCCCACACTCTCCCACAGTGGGACCCACTGTCCTCACAGACGCTGAAAGTGCACCCAGCATGAGCAAGGGTCCTGGGATCCATTCCTCCAACTGCCAACACACGGTGACTCCCAGGGCTGTGAGTCACACACCTCTGGGGTGACCTGTGTGTACACAAACACACAAAGCCCACAGGACACCAAGCCCAGAGCAGGGCTCTCGGCTCGGAGGGCAGTGGGTCCTGCTGTGGGAGGGCGTGGCGACGGGGTACTCCAGAGTTCTGTGCACTCCCTTGGTGAGTGCTCATTTACATTTAAAACCTTTGGTTTTAAGTGCAAACAAACTCCTTCCCCTAAGAGTTGCCAGGGACTCACTGTGCTGTGGCTGTGTGTAGATGTCCCCAAAAGCTTCATCATCATAGCGGGGCTTTTGCAGAGGTGGCTGGATCTGGAGTGTGTGATGCTGGGATTAAGGGTAAAGTCCACTGATGGTATGGCAAAGTTCTGGCTAGAATTAAGGATTCTAGGGTTACAGGTGTGAGTGCTACCCACTGTAAGGTTGGCTAGCCTGAAAGAACATGACAGACAGAGTTGCTCATCACCTGCTTCCCTGCTTTGCTACTTTCTGCCCACCATGCACTGTTTTTCCTCTGCCATGCCACCCTGCCTTGGAGCCAGCTGACAATGGACTGAAACCTCTACAAACTGTGAGCTAAATAAACCTTTCCTCCTTTAACCTTGGGTGTGGGGTATTTGTTTCAGCAATGAGAGAAGAAACTAAGACAATGTGGTATATTAGGAGGAAGGAAAAATGGAATCATTTTCAAATTCTTCTGAATAGGTAAAAGAAAATGGATTCAAACAAAAATCCTACTTGGTCCCCACAACTCTAAAATTTCTATTAACATCATCAACACCTTTACATAGCTAAGCTCTTTGGCCACGTTTTTTAACCCCCTTCCACAGAGAGCAGGCCAAGGATGCAGGAACCACACAAGGCCTCTCTGCAGTGCCACCGGGAGGGCGCCTACATCCCACTGGGACTGCACAGAAGGACAGCAACTTACGGAAGTATTTCAGCGTCTCCTCAATCTGCTCGGTGGTGAGGTCGATGTTGGCGTCTGGGGAGATGAGGGGCGTGTGGAGCCAATCATCGTGGTCGTAACCATAGATGGTGTCGGCTCTCAGCTTATAATGAGGCAGCTGCTCCTCCAGCAGGCTGATGATCTCCACTTCGGGAAGGTTGGTGCTGTTGCACACGTCTGCAGGGAGGGAGACCAACAGGACCGATAATGAGAGCCAGAACCGGCAGTGGTCGTGCTGCGCTAACCAGCTGGGCCTGGGCCGGGAGCTAGTGTCTTTGCTCACATGCTCACTGCCCGGAGAAGACGGGTGCGGCCACGTCAGGGCATCTGCCAACTGTGACTCTACCCCCAAGACCTAAGGGGAGGCAGTTTAACAGGTACAGGGTGAAGTTGGATAGGAAGAATCATTTCTAATGCTCTATAGCACACGAGGGTCACTGTGGTTGACAACTCATTGTGTGTTTCACAACAACTGGTAGAGAGGATCCTGAATGTTCTCAACACAAAGACAAACACTGTGAGGAATATGCTGATTGATCTGACTGTGGCATACTATATAAGAAATTGTACTGAATGTGATGCTATACCCCACAAACATGCACAATTACTATGTGTCAAGTAAAACTAAAAAAAAGTTAAGCTTAGAACTATGCAGCTCACTGCCAAGACCTGCTGCCAAGGGCCCACTCTCTGGGAAGGACAGCCTGCATTCTGTAGCCTTTATCCCCGGGGATCCTTCTCAAGCACTCTGCACTTAGGCCAACCAGCTATAATTTACCCTGCATGCCTAACTTCTTCCTCCCACTCTTTTACCACTCAGCGTTCCCCTTGGCTAGAATCTGGCCTGCATTTAATGTATTAATTCATCTGTCCATTCATCCACCCCTCCTTCCATCTGCCCAGGAGACGTGATGGAACACAGCAGTCATGGTCCTGCCCTTGCAACCTTTGTATTCCTAGGAGGCATCCAACCATTACTTATACCAAGAAATGCCCCCTTCAAGGCATGGATTGAATGCCAGCTCCCTGACACACTGGTGCTTAATCTCGCCTCCAGAACTTCTGTTGCTGTGCTTCTTAAATTCCACCTCCTGGGTGTTTTAGTATCTGACTCTGTGCTGGGAGATGGCTGTCTTCCAAGCATAGCTATCCTGAATCCACCCCTATGCATCTGGCCCAAGGGTGCACAAGAACCTCTAGGATGGTGAACCAACTCATCCAAAGCACACTAATACAGCCTTCGTAAATAAACTGTGATGGTAACCAGGACGCAAACCTGTTACCCTACTTCTCTACCCCAGTGCTCACCTATCAAAGGAGAAAGGTGTATTGCACGGGAGAGTGACACGGCAGGCTGCTCAGAGGATTAGGACGGCCCTGAGCTGAGCAAAGCATGCCAAAATACTAACAGGTGTTAATTAACCATCGGCTACTCCTGACATCAGAGACCTATGACGGTAAGTGGCCATGAGACCAGTGGTCTTGCCAACCTAGAAAGGGAGCAAGTGCCCCAGGTGCACACAGCTAAACAGAAAAAGCAAAGCAAACAGTAAGTGTACGCCCAGTCACTCTGTAGCAAGGCTGCCCTGGAGGTGGACCATGGACAGAGTGGAGACAGCACAGGCCTCATCTTCCTGTCCTCCACAAGAAACAGGAGCGCAGAAGGAACGCACCTGAAGGATGAAGCCATTCAGCATGGGCAAAGGCAGGTGCTGAGGATGGACCAAGATGCTGAGTGCACCTCAAACAGGAGCCGAGGTATCAGATCAGAGGAGGCAGCCAGCCAGATCCCCCACATAACAGGAATGACTGGTGCCAGCGGCAAGCGTGGGCACAGCTATGAGTGGGAGTAGGAAGGGCCCAGGCAGAACTGGCTGATGAACAGAAGGCAGAACTCCAAATGCAGGGAGGTCAGGCCCTCTCTCCCCTACTCCCTCCACATTCAAGGCCAGGAGGGCAGCAGGACAGGGACACAGGCAGAATGTGGAAAGACCCGTGCCCAGAACAGCCATGCTGGGGACTTGCCAAAATCCCTCCTACGGGCCATGCAGCAGGTAGAAAGTGGTAAGTTACAAGGCAACTCACCGCCCCAGGGGGGATTTAAGCTCTTTTATTAAGGAGTTAATAAAAACTCCTTCCTTTTCACCTGTTCCACTACAGTTCCCCTCGACAAAAGCCAACCCCGCCCTCACCTGCCTTGGTTAAACTCTGACGAATGACACCCCTGCTCAGGCTGTTCTGACCCACGGACAAGCCCCTCCCCGGAAAATGTTCTGGCCCACGGACACCCTTCCTAAAAAATAGCTTAAAAACCGCAAGCTTTGCTCAGCTCGGGGCTGTCCTAGTCCGCTGGGCAGCCCACTGTGTCACTCTCCCACCCAATAAAGATTCCTCTCCTGTCAGAAGGTCTGGTCTGGTTCTGTGTGGGCCTCGGCCCAATCATATCAGAAAGGAGGGGAACAATCATAGGCAGAGAGTAGGGGTGGGTGGGTAGGAATTGTCCCCTCTCGGTGACACCAGCCTTTCCTATCTCCCTCTGGCCTTCCCCACAGGCTCCCACTTAAGCCAACACACAGAGTTCTGCTGCAGAACAGGGCCATCAGGAGGTCAGGTGGTTTCCCAAAGCAATAAGCAAGGAGTTAAAGTTCAGAAAACAAGGGCATTCCGAATTTCACAGCTCCATCCCAGAGGGTGGAGCACATCGCCCAGGCTTCTCTGCTGGATATGGAAAATGTCCCCATAAGTACCCTGGCATTGCAGCAGCTGAAACCCAGTTCAGCCCAGCCCCATCACCTCGCACAGGTCTGCAGAAAACGAAGATGTGGCCTCCCTCCCAGGCAGGGCAGCAGCATGGCTCAGGACAGAGGACTTCTCTGAATTTTCACTTCCCACCCGCAGCACAACACCATGGAAAGGCTCAAGGCAGCCGCAAACGCCAACATTACCCTCTCACCCTCCAGTGCACAGCTGCTTCCTAGAGCCCACTCTGGGAGAGGCCTCCCAACCCACCTCGGCCACCATCTGAACAAGGGGGCCTGGGACAAGGAATCTGAGGCCAGTAGGTGACCCTCTTGGCCAAACATGGGTCAAACCCAACTGCTACTGCACAGCAGCTGCACAGGGGCAGTGCCGACCTGGCCCCAAGAGAACAGGCCAGGAACACATTCGGGCATGACACCTGCGCCACAGGCTGGCATCTGCTAGAGTCCTTGTGCTGCTTGATGGGGACAGAAACAGTCCAGAAAAGAGAAAATCTCTTCTAAGAACCCTGTGTCACTTGCAAGCACGCTGGCAGTGGCGGAAAAGTCGAGGCTCGACCTATCCTCCCATGTGTCCAGGTCCAAAGGTCAACTATTTACAGTATGGTCCTTGTGCCCAAGAGAGATCATGTGCCTCAAAGCATCTGATGACCGGGAGATAGGGTATTGGAAGGTGAGACTGGGCCAATACGCCTTTTCAAAAGACTGTGTGTATGATCTTTCCCAATGGGACCAGCATACAAATGTCAGCAAGTCTGCAGTTGCATGCGAGGCCCAGAGCACTAGGGCACAACAAGGACAGTGGAGGCAGCCCAGGGTTCCCTCTGACCTTGGCCATGGGGCCAGAGGCTCCAGTGGAGATAGACCCATGTGTACCTCATGACACATCGGAGGCTGAGGCTGGTGACTATCACCTAGGCACTTTCAAGAACCCCATAGGCAGGCTCTCAGCAGACCAAACCCCAACTGGGTGTTCCCAGAGCTTGCTGGGACCCTTGCAGCAACCTTGGGACAAAGACATTACTGGCTCAGCTTCAGATCCAGTCTGAGAAGCCTGGCAGCTGGCAGGCAGTTCCTCCGCCCCTCTGCCATCTGCTGCCCCCTTCTGGAGGGAGTAAGCAGGTCACTGGGAATCCCAGACTTTGCCACCACAGGAAGCTCAGTTCTAAACAGGCCAAGCTGCACCATGAGGCAGGATGGCCAACCAGATGCAGACAAGCCTGGGTGGTGCAGGCAATCTCCCACCCCGAGCACAGGAGGCACAGCCCGGCATGGAGGAGCGAGTCTGCCACCACGAGGGCCACAGGGAGGGACAGCCCTGCCCAGCTCTCCAAGCTCATCAGGGATGAAAGCATGAATGGATGCTGCCGCACAGCCTGGAGGGAAGGGACCTGTAGTGCTCTCTCTGGTCATCCAGTCTTCAAAGCTTGAACACACACAACCAACCAGATGCAGAAATGTGCTCTTGGGTGGAAGTCGCAAATGATAAGTGACAATTTCTTAACAGAAGCCAGGCCCCAGAAGGACATGGCTTCAGCAGATCTGAACAACGGCAGCCCAAGCCAGCCCAGCTTGTCAAGACCAGCCAGGCAAGCAGAGAATGAAGAACCTCTCAGCAACTGTTCCACCTTCTCCTCCAGCTGGCACGGCCGCGGGTGCCAACTCTGGAAGGTCATCACTTCCCTGCTCCCTGTAGAGAGCTCCATGACTCCACCTCCCTTCCCAGGGCAGACGCTACTGCTGCTGGCTGACATCGTTTCTGCTGCTTTCTTTTAGGGACGTAGCCCCCAAGGGATGGCTGGGCTCACAGCCACCAGCTAGAAATGACAGTTCCTACCTTACCCTGCAGGACACCCATGTCCCTCGGCAACAGGAACAAAACAGTCTCGAGCCGCCTCTGCCCCATCCATCTGCAATCAGCCAGTGCTGGGGCCACTTCCAGGGACAGTAATATGGAGGGATGACCCGGTGGCCGGCCACCCGGCCTCACAGCTGGAGAGAGCAGGGCAGGGCCAGGACTCTGGGGGAGCAAGGCTCCACCTCGCTGAGCCAGAGCCACGCTGGCCCCAGGCTCGGGTCAGTCAGCTGACCCAGCATGCTTCTGCCCAAGCTCAGTCCTGCGCTTGCCTCCGGCCCCTTCAGCTAACTACATGAGCCGTCTGCCTTCTCCAGACCCTTCTGGTACTTTCCCCCACAAATCTGGGTTTACACCAGCAGCCAGCCGCATCCTAAATGTCACCTGAACATCACCCTGTACCCGGGGAGCCTCCTGAGGCTTCTCCCTGCACGTGCCTGCTTGTAGCACAGCATGAGTAGTGCTTTCTCCACATCTCTCTCGGTGGCTGTTAGATCCCGGGAGCAAGTGCTTGCAGTCGCCGCCTGCAGACCCAGCCCTCAGCGCAGTGCCCACCAGAGTGG